TATCGTCAAGTAAACTGCGCTTTGTCACGAAAGAGGAAATAAATGGATTGGTAACGGGACTTACAGTGTAGATTGCTATTACCGGCGTCCAGAGTATTGTCTTGGATAAGACCACTTATTGTTTCACGTACATTTCCTGATAAATACAAAGCGTAATAGTAAATGATGCAATGATAGAAGCTGAGTGAAAAAAACGGGGGGGGGGTCGGGTCGCGTATTGCTTTGCTGCTACTACCGCGCAGTTCATTAATTTCGTTCTGTTTTACTGAACGCCTTGAACCAGATAATGACTCCAAGTCCCTCCTTTTTTTAATTCAGTGGTCTTGCTTAAGAAATGGACGTAAGCCGTAAACAAAGAACCTTTGTCTTTCGTACAATTACTCTATAAACTTATTATAATATGTGCACTATATTTAACAGTTGTTCCTTGAGCCCGCACCTGATATGGGTTAGCTATACCAATCTCAACAAGTCAGAAACAGGAACCTATGGAATAATTGACCAATGAGTTTGTACAGATGAAATGTTACCTGTAAATTCATGTCAGTTCATCCTGTCAATTGAATTTAAAAAATTGACCCCATCAGAAAACCTGAGTAGCCAAAAAAAGTAAAAAGGAGACGTTGAATTCGACGTGCTTAAGAATATGTGGATCAAGAATTTGATCAAACCCCAAACCCAAACCCAAACCCAGAGGCTTCACGAAGCAGAAAAAAAATGTTAGGTTAATATGTGGTTCAGATTGACGCTAGAATAAAATATGATTTGTTAAAAGCTTCTTAATAGACACTCTGGTCTCAATTAATAAACGTTATCATTTTATTTCGCCTGGCTCTGAAATATACCTGGGAAATTCCCGACACTTCTTTGGCTTTTCTAGACATTAAAATTTCAATTAAAGTCAGAAACAAGAGCCAATGGAATTATTGAGTTATTAAATTTGTCCACTTTTTGGTAATCCGTTTTAACTCTCAATTTTTCTTAAAATTAAAGCCACCTGAAGTCAATATCATATATGATCGTCAAAACGGCAAAACTTTAATCACATAAGTAACGGTTAAGTTACGTCCGAAGCTGAATAAAAATTCAACGCAAGTAGTTTATTCAGCTGTACACAATAGGCAAGCGAAAAATTTTGTGAACAGGTTGATTAAGTGTTTTGTTTAACTAGAACAGAGCAAAGCTTGTGATCGAGGATAGCTTTCGTGTCAATATCCTGACCTCAATTTCTCGCTTCGAGTGTACGAGTTAAGGGTAATATTCCTACTGAGACAAACATTTGGTTAAATCAGTAGAGTTATACCCTAATGTTCAAATGTTTTGCTGCATGGTAGCGAACGGAGAAACCAGTATTATGGTAAATCAAACAGCCCCGCAGTCGAGATTTTGTAATGAAAGATCCTGTTAGAGCGTAAATATTTCAACACAAATTCTGTAATTCCTATAATGAAATTTTTAAGATAACTGGCTGTTCTTTTTGTTGTGGCAACCTTGTACCTTTTCTTGACCATAAAGCGTTGATAAGAAGCTACTGAAAACGCTGTAAGTGAAACTTCAAATATAAGTACCATTCAATGAGGTTACATTGAACTTTTTGAATGTTACTTTTTGTTACCGATATGACGTTGACTATCATTTAACTATCACTTTAATTAATTTCCAGTGTACCAAAAGAAGCGATTGCTTCAGCCAAAGTAGATTCAGCTGAGCGACACTTAGATAAATTATTTCTATATCAGGTTGTATATCAGATGATAACCAAAATTCAGAGAACCAATAAGATCACTAGAAATATACGATATCAGGATTTTGAAATTTAATGGAAATAGATGGTAAGTGATCATGAGTGCGTACGACTCTTATTCAGTTGGGACTCAAACCTACCACCTTCCGTTCAGTACTTCGGATACTCTAATGCTTAGATACAGTAGACTTGTGGCAAGCTAGCTCGATTAACTATGTCCTCGGAGATAGACTTCCTGCATATTGCGAGCATAATATTATTGATATGTGATTCTTACTCGCAATGCTGCATTTATTAGATTTCTTACTCATTTTGCTACTGCTAGGTATTTTTGATCCAACTGAGCTTACCAATGGAATTCGTCAGCTGCACAAGACTCGCGAGGGATGGCTCTTACCGTCTCCATGGTGTGAACAGTATCAGTTTTTTCTTGGCTATATTTTTACAAATCTTAAAGTGGTCAGAAGAAAGAAAACGAGAGGAGAAATCAGTAACGTATTTGTTGACATGTCGTCAATACTAGACCCGTATGAAGAGTGTTCAGCGGCGAGAACAGTGTTGATTGAAGGGGAACTTGGTATGAGAAAAAAACACCTACTGTAAAAAGTACGCTTACGACTGGGCCACCAAAAAGCAAGCACCTCAGGGCTGCGGCTCAACAGCATTCAAAGCAGTATTGTTGCTGAAATGTCGAGAAATGCATTCTGATGTTTGGGGAGCCATTGATGATCAGTTTCTGCTCCGAGATTGACATCGATGAAGAAGTCAAACAACAATATCGTTTTATTGATATTGGACGGATTGGATGAGTTACCATCCAGTAAATTGTCGATTTTTTTTAAAATTAATTGAAGGAAGAGTAGTCCCCAGATGCCACATAGTTGCAACAGCAAGACACAAAGCTGGAAAAGAAGTGAGAAAATGCTGTGACACGCTGCTTCAGATCGAAGGATTCACTCAAAAGCATGTGAAAGGATTTGTCACCAAGTACTTTAAAGAAAGGCACGATTTAGCTCAACTGCACTTGGATATGGTTGAATGTGTCTTGAGAAGATATAGAAAAATAAGGGACTATCAGAAACGGAAGAAGACCTGACAGATCTTTAGAAACCGCAATTGAATCGCTTCGGGTTGGTAGCGTTGAATGGTTTACTTAACGACAAATTGGATTCGAATGAAAGTGAATTGGAAAACCATGCAAAAGACTTGACTGAATTTGGATTTCTTGCATAAAAGTTTTCAAGAATTATTTGCAGCATTCTTCATTTGTGCTCAGATTCAAAGCAAGGAAATTAGACCTGACGAACTAGTTTCCGATCCAAGGTATTTTGTTAAACTGGAAGAGATACTTTTTTTTTGCGGAATTTTAGCCATGAAATGCAATGAACAAGTCGTGGCTCTTGTAATGAGTTTAACAAATGAAGTCAACGAAAATGAAAGCAGCAGTTTAAAAGTTGTATTGGAGGCTATTAACGAATGTGAAAGACAAAAGTGTGATTTTCACTCACGGTTTGACCAATTTGAATTTGTATTACAATGGTATTGGTGGTGCCGGTGCTACATCTATTGCTGAGGCCAAAGGTCAAAGTCAACAAGACGCTAACCAATCTGGATTTGTCTGACAATGGTATGAGTGAAGCCGGCGCAACATCTATTGCTGAGGTAATCAAGTTCAACAAGACGCTAACCAATTTGAATTTGTGTAGCAATGGTTTTAGTAATGCTGGAGCTACATCTATTGCTGAGGCCATCAAAGTCAACTAGACGCTAACCAATTTGAATTTGTAGAGTTAATAACATGATTTCGAGCTCAGTTTGGAATAAATGAGCACGAGTAAATTTTTTCAAAGAATAAAATTGAGTTATGTGAAGAGTTTTAGAGACCAGACATTTTATTTATCACCAGGGAGGGACGATTCATCTTCCTTTTTTTTTGAAGGCGGAGGGGGACGGGAGATGGGATTTACATGGTTTTCGATGAACAGAGGCTGATCGGTTGCCGCTAACAGAGTTTTAAGGGGGACTGTAGAAAACTGACCGCCAATTGATTGTTAATGAGGAATCATAAGTATATTATGGTGAAATTTTTATGCTTTTCCTTTGTAGGCGTCAGCTTAAAAATATATTTTTAACATAAACATTTTTCATTCCCATGAGAATAAGACACAAAAATCTCTACATTAAATCCTTACGCAACCCGAACAATAAGTGATGTAATGGATTTTACGAAAGCAAAAGACTACAAAGGTATTATCACTGCTATAGATTTTGAGAAAGCCTTTGACTCCGTAAATTGGAATTTTCTATCAAAATCACTGGAATCGTTTGGTTTTGGAGAGTCTTTCAGGGTATGGATTAAAACGTTCTACAGTAACATATCAAGCTCTGTGACAAATAATGGTTTTTCAACTCCCTCTTTTAACCTCAAAAGGGGTATCCGCCAAGGCGATCCACTATCGCCATCCCTCTTTATCATAGTGCTTGAACTGCTTGCTATCTCTGTGCGAAATAACAATCAAATAAGAGGTATTAACGTAGATGGAAATGAACTGAAATTAGTTATGTTTGCAGATGATATGACATCATTTGTTCGTGACAAGCAGTCACACCTCGCCCTATTCAATACCATTAACCTTTTTAGCACATACTCAGGCTTGTGTATAAATCACGACAAAACGGAAATTCTTTTGCTTGGTAATATGGAAATAAAAGCCTCGGAACTAGGTGTAAAGGAGATAAGTAAGGTGGTTAAAATCCTGGGGGTCCACTTCACCCATAATCCATCTTTGTTTTACAAAATGAATTTTGAAACTATCGAGAAATCCCTGAGAGAATCTGTGAAAGGCTGGAGTTGGAGAGGTCTTACTTTGTTAGGAAGAATACAAGTAATCAAGTCATTCGCTATACCAAAAATTTTGTATCGAGCATCTCTTATTTCAACCAAGAAAGACTTCATTAAAAAAATCAATAATCTACTATATTCATTCGTTTGGAAGGGCAAGGACAAAGTTAAGCGAAATGCACTGATAAACTCCCTCGAAAAAGGGGGGTTAAAAATGCCCGACAACGAGTCCATGATTAAAACTCAAAGAGTATTCTGTATTAGGAAATTTCTAGAAACCAGCTCAGCTGGGTGGAAATTTTTCTTGGAGTCTTACCTGAAAAAGGTAGGAGGTAAATTTTTGTTCCAATGTAACTTTGATTTTACAAAGTTACCAATAGCTCTTCCAGACTTCTACAAAGAATGCATTTCAACTTGGTCTTCTTTGAACGAGGACAACCCTTCCTCGCTTTCAGATATAGTAAATCAGGTCTTATGGAACAACAGGTTTATATGCATTGATTCCAGATCAGTTTATAGTAAAAAGCTTTTTGACGCAGGATTAATAAAAATTGGCAACCTCTATGATGAAAATGGCGAGCTTAAATTGGATAAGGAGCCATGGCGTTCATCTCTCTCACCGGTCGATCGCTTCCTAATTTTCCGTCTCCTCAATGCTTTCCCACAAGAGTGGCGTAGAGAATTGAAACTAAATAGGACTTCTATCTACAGAAACACACAATACCAAAATCTAAGTAATTTCTCCCTGTGGGTTGATGGTGAACAGAAGACTTTACAGAAGCTTTATTCAAAATCATTGTACCAGATTTTCGTCTCTAAGATATCTAGTATACCAACTGCAATGAAGAAATACGACAAAGCATTTAATACAGACACTTTTCATCTTGATTGGAAGAAGATTTATTTACTACTTTTTAAAACAACTTTGCATACCAAACTAAGGGAGTTTCAATATAAAATACTAAATAGAATCTTATACACAAATGTTATGTTGTTTAAATTTAAGAAAGTAGACTCCCCATTGTGTTATTTTTGCGAAAAGGAGTTAGAGACCTTAGAACATTTGTTATTTTATTGTCCAAGAGTGCATGCTTTCTGGGATGAAGTCACTGTCATGTTAAACTCACAGGGCATTACTTTGAAGTCTCCTGATATTAAAGATATTGTTTTTGGTTTTTTTGACGCGCCTAATCATGACAATGACGGAATCCTTCTTAATTATATTGTACTAGAAGGTAAATATTTTATTTATCGCACCAAGCTAAATAAGACTTCTCTATCCTTTAAATCCTTTTTCGAAAGAATTAAGAGTACGTTTCAAATAGAACGTTTTATAGCCAGAAAGAATATAAAACTTGAGATCCATTACAACAAATGGAAACCCCTCCTTCAACTGATAGAACAATAGCTGAACTAATTTATTATTTATATCAATACGCGATGCCTCTTTTTTTCGTTTTTTTTTCTTTCTTTCTTTCTTTTCTTCTTTTCTTTTATTCTCGTAGTCCAGTGTAGTGGTATTTTCTTTGTGTAATTTAGTCGTGTAATGTAAATTTATGCATGTAGAAATTTGTGATGTATCTTGCGTACTTGTAAAAACTGTAAAAACCCAAAAACAAATAAAATACAAAAAAAAAATCCTTACCTTAAATCCAGAGCATTTATCCTGTAGTTTAAAATCAGTCGCAGAGTTCCTTTCTTTAATCCCTGCAGGACAATCCGACCCTCACGTGGTTAGTCTTGAGTCAGGCATGACTGACCAGGGTAAGGCAAAAGTCACATAGTTTGATGTAAATGGCCTTTCGTCAACAGACGTTTTGATCTGAAACATTTTCTTTAATTATAGCGTATATGAATAAAATGAAACTCTGTACCATGTGTAAGACTGGAGTACTCCTTGATCTCTTTGTGAACCTCATCGGTGTTTATCACCTTGCTCGTAAATAACATTTCTCATATGATTTGTCGTCACAATCAGGAGCATGTCGCGAAAGTGTGATGATATTTTAACGCTCACTAATTAAAATGCTCAGCCTTTCCCCTGGAGTTGTTAATTAAATCATTTGTGTTCTTTCGAGCAGCCTGAAGAGGAAGGATCCGAAATTAATCATTTTACCCAGCGGTGCTCAATTTCAAACAAATAGGTTCTGCATATATTGACCGGAAAGTTTGTTGGCAATCGCTCCACAAATTCTGCGATAAACGCGAAATAAAATCGATTTTGTAATGTTAAAGCAATCGGCTACTGATCGCGGGCATTCAGGGTTCCCAAGTATCCATATCGTAATTAATACTTGCTTCTGTTTTAATTCCATCGTTTGAGTTTACAATGAAAAAATGTGCTTCTGATGAATAGTGCTAATTAAGGGCCTGTTTACATGGAGGTGGGGGACCCCGGGTAGTTGAGGTAACCCGCCTGTCCCTATAATTTCTTCTTTTATCTTGATCACGTTTACATGATAGGTGGGGTGACCCGCCTGGGCGGGTTGCCCGGTCTGCCAGGTAGGGTAACCCTGTCAGCCGGGGTGACAATTTGCCATGTAAAAATCAATTAATAAATCAATTTCATCCGGAATACATCGATTTTGGATGTCATACATCGATGTTGTGCAGCATACATCGCTTTTCTGACTCATTCATGCGTGACCTTATATAACCAAAAGATGTTCGATAAAACTAAAAGATGAGGAAGCGGAAATAGAAATGACCGGAAGTCAGATTAAACAAGAAGCCCCGGAAACTAACACTTTCAAAATGGCGGGAAATAAAGGCAGACGATCAGTGAAGTTTGAGAAGCACTACGCCAGGTGTACGGATTTGGCTGCCCAACACCGAAGAATTTTTTACGTCTTTGGGTAGGCTATTGGAAAGTGTAGAGGGCAAAGGAACACTGCGTCCTACGACTCGGCTGAATTTTTTAGTCGCCGTTTACGAGAAAACGACAGAACTCTTGTCACTTTGACTCTAAGAATAGAAGAAGCCTTCCCAAATGAAGTTGAGGTGATTTCTGATCTAAACGAACTTGTTTTTCTTATGAACGAACTCTCAAGGGACAAGAGGACTCGGAACGTTCTACGTTTACTGCACCATCGTCCCTAAACGATCGTCTTTCAACTGTGGCTAGGAACGGTTTCGTCGGCAAACCAAGGCTACAGATCTTACAGCAACAGTTGCAAACTCTGCACAATGACGCCGGTTTTCGTTGGGCTGATATCGGAAGAATTCTTGGATGAGAGTATAGCTTATGGCAAAATTGGTTTTGGCAAGATATAGATATGAAAGGATGATCCTTCCTTATCTTACTTTCAGTTAACAGTTGTGTTATTCTTGGGCCCACAAACCATTTTTATCCATAATTTTTCATAGGACATTAAAAAAACACATAGAATCATAATCACCAAGAAACTGAATAGAGGAGGGCGTAACTTGAGGTTTTAAGGAAAAAAATCTTTGTAATTGGTACAATTATCCATGACTTTACATATGTTTATGGGAATGTTTTGCTCCTTTATTGCTAGAAATTTCTACTGCTCAAATTAATACAAAATCTTTGTTAATTTCCTAAGCAGTGGCCAAGGAAAATATGCCAGGGGACCCTTCATATAAAACAATAAAATTTTCAAATCCGTTAAGGTTACTCAGGAAATGTTCCACATTCAAAGTTCCAGTTTCAAGTTACTCAACATATTAACTGTTTCGTTAAAAGCATGACGAACTCAACACTAACATAAAAGAGCTTACAAGAGCTAATTTACAGGGGTATAAACTTCTCTGCAATAGCCATTATGCATGCAATGTAGCCACAGCTTTACCTCATTTGTTATTATTTTGAATG